TAGTAGGGTCTTCCTGAAACACACGAAGGATTTCCTCTTCACCTTGAGGAGGATAGGACTCGGGGTCGACCAGCATCACTATGTTGCATTTGAACACGTCCGGTTTGACGGATGCGCCGATACACAGAGTCAAACACAGTAACATGAGGTGTGCGGCGATTCGGGAAACGTTGCCGATATTCATGGCGGGCAGCTGCAGAATCGCCGTTACAAAGTCCGTAACAGAACATTATGTCTGCGTATTCTTCATTTGTAAAAGTTTGCCCGTGCGCGCTATGGCGAGGTCCTGGCGGATCTTCTGCGTCTGCCATGATGATAAAGAAACCACCCGAATGATGAATAATAACAGCTCTCTCTCTCTCTCATCCTCCACTAAGTCAGCTCTTCTCGGCTCGCTTCCTCGTCGAGCCGATGCCATAAAACAATCATGGATGCGAGTCCTTTGAGGACAGTAGCAACTTGTTCAAACAGGTAATACAATTCCTAAAAATCCAGCCTCTGTGGGTGTCATTATTGTTTCTCTGCATGTACTTCAGACAATTGAACGCTTAATACCTCAAATGAAGCTTGTTAAATAGAGATATTATTTACGTAATTTGCACATTTCATTACTATGAGATTTTTTTACAGAAAATTGCATTTTTTATCGAATAAGTTAGAAAAAAAAAAAAAGAAAATGATACATTTAAAAAGCCTAATTTTAAAACGTTTGTAGCTTTTCAACATTTTATTACTTATTATGAACTATTGGAATGTGTGCTATGTGACGATAACAAAAACTCAAAATCAAGCGTGCAGTTTTTTTGTATTCCAATTTTAACCGTCTGAAATCGGAATAAAAGATATAAAAAAAATAAAATTCAAATAACCCAAAAACGGTTAACTTCTGGATAGGACATTATAGGACAAAATCGGTTGCTTTTGACCTAATCTATCACTCCTTAACAGGAATACGTGACATTACAAGTCACCCTGTATACTCAGTGACAAGGAGTTGAAACACCCAGTCAAAATGATTTGAATTGAATGGAACTTTATATGCAATTAGATATAAGTAAGAGGTAGTTGTGATGAAGATTTTATATTAAAGTATATCTAGCTTGGGATGAGATAACACATAAATGATCGCATCTGAAGCATACTCCGACCATTGGACGGATGTATACGATATCGGTTGACCAATTATTAGGCGAATTTAGCAATACCGAGAATATTTTATCTTCAAAATTCACGACTTCCTCTTAATTATTTCTAACTGTATATGACTGCATTTGAATAGAATCATTCTTACTGGGTGTAAACAAAATAAATAATTTTTATTATAGCTACGTGAATTACTGGTCAATCAGAATGAGACTACCCCAATAACGCTGAATGTTAAGTTTCCCTTAAACGATATGGTAAGTAAACTTGTCTATTCTACTTGGTTCGTAGCTAGTAGGAACTCTGCTTTATTTCATTTGGTATTGGCTCTACATACACTAAAACTTGGGCAATCAAACTAGAAAATTCTTATTAACCATAATGAAGTTTCAAGTAACTAAATTGTTTGGTTCAATTAACTAAAATAAAACGGTCTATAAAATTTAATTAATCTAAACTAGTTTCATGGATTGTTAGCTATCACTTAGGTACTTAATTCCTCTATTTGGCTCAATTAAAGATTTAGTTGGTTTATTTAATTTTTTTTCTCAGTGAATTGTCAGAGACATAAATTGGCATAGCTAATATCGTAAGCTTAAAGTATTCTACTTGATAATAGCGAACGATATACTGTATTCCTACGTGCACAAAGGGATTTGGGAGATACTAGCGCCATCTATAAGACGGTAGTATATCACAAATATTAAATTAGAAATCCACTTTGGAAAGAGCTAATGTTTGGTTCTGATACTATCTCACAGATGACAATGGATCTTCAATCATTTTCTGGCGCCTCTGTAATGTCTATTTTAATTGAGGGGTTTCCGGGAAAACAACATTAGTCACTCTTTGTTGAAATTGAGTTGGCAACGCTGTTGTGTTCTACATGTTTCAATGCTACTTTCTGATGTTTAAGTTTCCCGTCAAAAGCGCATATCTCCGTCTAAAATGCGTTTAAAGAATCGTCGGTTCTTTAAGAACGGCATTAGTCAACATAGGTTTCCATAAAAACAACACTTGTCAATGACATGTGTTGTTTTTTTGAGAAACGTTATAGCACAGCCGACGTCAACTACGAGCCGTGATGAAAGAAAGGCAACACCGCGCTCGGACGGCATGGTAGTGCTACCTGTGAACGTCGGCCGCCAACGGCTGTGTGCTCCGTCTCCGTGTAACGTTCAAGAACTAAATTTAATTTTGGAAAAGAGGACAGTTCGATTCGATACAAATCATCTGAATATGAAATAGCTCTAAAAAATTTAAAATACGAAATAATCGTGATATATATGAGTCGCTAATGCAGTTAACCTAATTAAAAGTATTTAGTTTACGTTTTGTGGTGTCAGCACACTGTGTTCCAACAGGCCCAGCTTAGAAATGTGGAGTTACCTGTTTGTTTTTAATACATTTACTTTCAGTTTTACTGTTATTTTTCAATTTTACATAATCATTCAAAATTATGTTTGAAAAAATAGACAAAGCTTAGATAAAATATCTGCATAATTGCGGCCACAGATGCAAGTTAAAGAAAATTCACTGTATATAAAATCAGACTGAATGCTGAGCAAGGTTAACTGACACAAAATAAATTTTTGATTATTGCTTTTCAAGAAGAAAATTTCCAATCTATCTACATTAATAATAGATTCAAAAATGGCATACATATGGTAGAATATGATTGGTACATAACTGGTTGGAATTGACAGTCCTCCTCTTTGCAAATGATCAAAATAAATATTTGTTGTTAATGAACCTTTTTCTTTAACTATTAGCGATTTGCATATCTCGCAGTTTAGGTTTTTAGAGATAGCGTGTGAAGCATATCCAGATATATGTCTTAGTACTATCCTCTATGCCACAATTGGCTAAGTAATTTGTCTCAAATACTTCATTGAATATATCCAAAACTTCAGGATTTTGTTTGGTATCCAAGAAATCAAAATTTTCTTGAGTTTCTAAGCAGTTTTGGAACCTTGTTTTAATTTCTGCTAAAGAAAATGATGATTTCTTTTCATTGAAATTATGCTTCAGCCGTATTTTCTTTTCAGCGTTTAAAATTTCATCATATGACACATTGTAATTGCAGCCACATAAAAGTCTATAATTGCTAAATCGTTTTTTCTAAATTATCAGTGGTGAATTTTCCAGGCAATACATACTCAATGTCAAATCGATTAAATGAATATTCAATTACATTAAGTAGAGTCAGCGTGCTTTGATATAGAGCTGTATACGTTTCTGGTGTCAGGTGTCCATTATTATTCTCTAGATTATGCCATTTTTCTAACCATATCAGGAATTTTTTTAAAAATTGTACTCTATAATCATATTTATTGGTAATAGGCTTACAAAATTCGTTTCGCTTCAATTCTCCTTTTATTACACTTGTATAACTGACAATATCCCACTAATTCCTGATTATTTCCAAAAAGTGTGCAGCATCATTAAACTTTAATTCTTTCATAGCAGCTATTGTTGAGTGATGGAATAAATTATCTATTATTGACATTTTGCCTTTCAAATGAATTTGGATGCAATGTTTTATAATTTAATTTATATGCTTTCTTAACTACAGCTTCTTTTTCCAATTGATATACAGCATGAATGTTTCAAATTTAGCATACTGAATAATATCATTATTGTCAAAATTAGGATATACAAAAGTTTTGTCTAGGTTTTTTGAATTAATCCAATTATTTCTGATACTCTTGAAAATATGCACAACATCATAAGTTAAATATATGTTCTTATCAGGATTATGTGGATTTGGAATAGAATAATTTTCTGATGAATCCTTTGCTAATTTCCTGAACATTGCTCTATTAATTTGGTGATTATCAGTAACAACACAAATAACTTCAAATCCACATTTTTTAACTAAATTTATCACATGTTCAACCAAAGGTGTCATTTCATCACCTGTTAGATTTGAAACTAGTAGTAATTTGATAATTTCGTTATGTTTCCAAATGCTGAAGATAGCATGAAGGCTAAAACAGTTTTAGCCATGTCATTTTTATTTGAAATTTGAAAAATACAACCAGAATTTGCACGTTTTCAATAGTTGAAATCCTTAGCGTCCTGAGGCGCGAACAGCCACAGTCTCACGTCTTAGTTTATTTTTAAAGCACAGAAGCACTACAACTGGAGTCTATTTCTCATATATTATAGTCACCGATCACTTTGAACACATACACACACTTTGAAGCTTAAAAAACAAGCTTATCTCTTAATTACAGCCTCTGCGATTCCAAAATCACAAATTGAAAAGGTTATATTTTCTCAGCGTTTTGAGCGGCGGGAGTAACACTACCACCTACGTTGCCAGATTTCTTTGTTCACGGCTCGTAGTTGACGTCGGCTGTGGTTATAGTATACAAAGTTAGGTTGACTGTTGGTTAAACGTGTCTTGTGTCAAATTAATATTATTTTATTATCACAAGTATGGAATATGAAAGACAAAACTAGCGAACAATACTGAAATACCAGAAAGAAAGAAGCCAAAAACCAATAAAAGGACATTGGACAAAATAGCCAGGGTTAAAGGTGAACCTTTTTTTAATAATATGAAATAGCCAAGCAAGCTAGAGTTACTGGGCCAGATTGCAGGTTAGTTATGACTTTAGGAATATATTTTATAGCTTTTGTTTAAATATTACAAATTTTATAGATGTGCTTGATTAAAATGCTTTGAGAAGATTACAGAAGACAAAAGAAATACCACCTTAACCAAATTTAATATGCTGGAATCTAAAGATGCCCACGACAATCATCTTGCTGGTAATATAACAATATGCTTTAATAGTAGGTACCTTATAATACGTTTTTTTAGGATTAATATCATTTGCCCCCCCACGGCAAAGACGTCGTTGTAGAAGACATCAAGATGTGCCACAGGATAATGAAAATCATGAAGTGAAAGATGCTGTGGATGAGCCTTTACTACAAAAACATCAACATCTAGCTTCTTGAAATACAAAATAAGATATGGGGCCAATGAAGTGCTGGTGTGTGCCAAAGCATTTTGTAATATATATTATCTCAAAAGAAAGATTGCGACGAATAAGGTTATGTATTGTAAAAACAGGAAAGTCTCCAAAGGACAGACGGTGTGCAAATAGACCTCGGAAAACTGACACTACTATTCGTGATCATATAAAATCTTTTAAGTATCGACAGTCTCATTATTCTTGTAGAGATAATCCAAATGTATACTACTTACCAGAAACTTTAAGTTGCAAAAAAATGTATAAAATGTTTTGTGAAGAAATTGCAGATATGCGAGTCACTTATAAAGCTTATCGCCAGGTTTTTACAAGAGATTTAAGTTGAAGTTTGGTATTCCAAAAAGTGATACCTGTGGCATATGCAACAAATAAACCTCGAAACAGACATAGAAAAAAAAAGCAAATTTAAAGACTGAAAAAAATCTACATTTTTGTAAAGCCGAAAAGTTTTATCAGCTAAAGAAGCATTACCGAAATTTAGCTAGGCAAAATCCTGACTATTACTGTTGCATACCTTTAGATTTTATGCAGAACTTACCAGTTCCCCATATTCGCACAAATGAAGTTTTTTACGCCATTCAGATGTGGTACTACTAGTATGCTTTTGGAATACATAATGAGGGAAATGATAATGCAACAATGTACTGCTATGACGAAACTGTTGCGAAAAAAGGACAAAATGACGTCGCTTCTCTACTTTTCCAGTTTTTAAACAGCCATGAAGTTACCACAAAAAAAATAATATTGCTCAGCGATGGGTGTGCTGGGCAAATTATGTTCTCATGCGTTTTTTGTATGTGTTAGTTCACTGTTTGCAGATGTTCGAAAGTATTATTCACATATTTCCAGTTAGAGGATATTGTTTTTTATCAAATGACAGAGATTTTTCTATCATTGAGAAAAACAAGAAAACTGCAACCGTTGAAGTACCTTCAGAATGCGACAAGATTATAAAGGAAGCACGAGAAAAACCATCCCCATATGAACTTGTTAACGTAAACTCAAACATGATATTTGATTTATCAAGCAATATTTCTCCATAATTTCTAAAAAACCCAAAACCACCGGTAAAAAAAACAGCAAGAATGCTTAAGTATGACAGAAATGAACCAGGATAGACAAGACAAAGTTATTCTGGAGAGTGGGAACGTAGTTACATACGAAATAACAAATCCTTGCCAAGAGAACTTCGTTTGACGCAAAACCACAATGAATCGGTTCCATTAAAACAATCCAAAATTGAGCATCTATTAAATTTATCAAAGTCTATTAAAAAATTTGAACATATAATGTTTTATAAAAGGTTTTTAAATACTAATAAACAAGATACTGAAGACAATGATGCAGAAATAGACAACGACCGCAACAGCAGTGGAAATAGTGACATAGAATATTTAATATTGTTATACAGTTAGAATACTTTTGAAGAATACGTTTTTTTCCTGAAATACTTAAGTTTCGTTTCAATAAATATATTTGGAAAATATTCTTGGTTTACAAGCCTCTTTCTAAAAAATTCCTAAGAAACAACATTTGTATTTTTTTTAATTCACAAATCCGTTTTCTTTTCTTGATATACACCTTAATATATATTTAAGATGCCTTCTTACAGTTTTTGATAATTTGCCACATTTTTGTTTTCTGACAAGTGTTGTTTTTCCTAGAAACCCCTCAATTGGATATTTCCAAGTAAAGTACGTTAATGTATCCTTATTTGCGATATAATTATTTTATGATATCGAGGATGAAGAAACGGTTGAGATTGCGTGGCTTAGGATATTTGAAATAACGTTTTGGCTACATTTTAAAATAATGTCTACGTTCTAGTGGCCTTCAAATGAAAGCACATACAGTTCATTTGAAAACTTTCCACCACGTATTTATCGAAAACCATTGATTAAAAGAAAAAACGCTCAGACACATCAATAGATTTGTCAAAGGTGACAATTTTTTCACCCTCGGCCCCCCAGGGTCATTCTCTTAAAAATTTTAAATGACAAGAGGAACCGAGTACAAGTTTGTTTGAAAGTTCTTTCGAAGTCCTTCATTTTGAGGTTTGATTTTTTAAAATCAGTCGATTCTTTTCGAGAAAATTAGAAAAATCTTTATTTACCCTAACTAGTTCAGATAGAAAACAAAAACACACGCAACTATCACTTTTTATTAAGTGTTCAAAATGTTGCCCTTTAGGGTTTGCCAAATCTAAAATTCGTTTATAATTTAAACCGGAAACTACCGACATGAACAGCATCTCCGAAGATTAGACGTGGCAACAACCAAACAACAACCCGAATTTTTTCCGAATTCCAGTTTGCTGTCAGTTAACTTTGAGACAATCTTGGGATAATTAAAATTAATTTATTGATTCAGATTTTACTTCCGGAAGAGTGGAAATGATTCTAATTAGAAGATAACTTCGCATAGGACCTTGTTACTATATACTAAGTGACATATAAATCCGAACACCCAGTTTAAATCGTTTTATTTTAATAAAATTTTGTATAAGTACTTGATGAAGCGTAATAAGTAAATGATAAAAATTTCAAAATGATTGCACTGCTTTAAAGCCCTTTGACCTTTAATAATGTGTGGATGCACCCTGATGTGCTACGCATTCTCCAACGCGCTTAGGCATGCTTCTGATCAGGTGGTCAATGTCCTCCTGTGGTATCTCATTCCAGGCAACCACCAACTCCTCTCGAAGTGCTTCTAGAGTCTGAGGAGGACGTTGCAAATTGAGCAATCTCCTACCCATCATATCCCACACGTGCTCAATTGGGGATAAGTCGGGAGATCTTGGTGGCCATGGTAACAATGTGACATCATTATGTTGAAAGAAGTCTATTGTGACTCTTGCAACATGTGGTCGGGCATTATCTTGTTGGAAAGTTGGATCGGCCAGGATGTCAAGATGGGGTTCTAGAATTTCGTGGATATAACGCTGCGCGTTCATGTTACCTCTGATGAAGATTAAAGGTGTCCTGGAACCATAAGCTATAGCACCCCAAACCATAACTCCAACAGTGTGATGAACATGTCTTTCAACAAAAAACTGTGGATTCCTCCTTTCACCACGTCGCCTTCTAACCCTGGCACGACCATCGTGCATGCCTAAACAAAATCGAGACTCGTCACTAAAGACAATACTGTTCCATTCCTGATCCCAGAGTGACCGTTGTCTGCACCACTCAAGGCGATTACGTCGGTGTTCTCGAGTTAAAGGGAGGACCCAGTGTGGCCGGTATGAAAACAAGCCAAAACTTCTCATTCGTCGGTAAACACTTCGCGTGCCAATAGGTCTTCCGTGTTCTGCAAACCATTCATTTGCAATGGACCTGGTAGTGGAGAAACGGTCCCTTAAGGCCAATAATCTTAGGCGGCGATCTTCACCCACAGTGTCTACACTTCTTTGCACTCTAACTGCAATTGCCCGAAAAGAAAGTCCAGCTTCCCGAAGTCCCACTATACGGCCCCTATCAAACTCACTAAGTTGACGAAATCGTACAGGTCTCCGTATTCTAGGCATCGTAACCGATCGTAAAGGATGTCAAGAACCAAAATCCGCCAACGTTGATTCTTTACTGCGGCTGAAATATTCATTTTTAAAGCTTTAGTGAATTAAAAAAAACAGTTTAAAAACCGGAATGTCCAACTGATAAGGCTGAAAATTTTTTCACTTGTTATTTACAATAAGATAAATACATTCACCAACTTTTATTAAAATAAAACCATTTAAACTGGGTGTTCGGATTTATATGTCACTTAGTATATTTACTCAAACGTGATCATAGGAGGGTTTTGGATGACGCCGCTCAAGTTGAAGCTTTGTGTCGTTTTGGAACAAATCCTAAAACTTCATTTCCCAAAATTGTTGCTGCGACTGGTATTTCATTAGGTTCTGTACAAACTGTTACTAAACTCCATAAATTTCATCCATTGAAAATGAAAATATTGCAAGAGTTATCCGAAGATGTAAAAGTGAGAGTTGTTTTTGATTTTAGAAAAGGGTGGTTCTTTCAAAAGGCATTACTATTATTCCAAGATCGGACCTTTCACATTGGGCATTGTACTGCCCGATAAGTATGGCTTTACAAAAGTTGATGCTGGAAATATACCACGACCCAATCCTGTCGAAAAGATATACAATGCGCTCAACAATTCTACATTTTGGACTGTACATCCTGAATGGTAAGACGGCATTGACAAATTGATGATAGATATTAATCTACTAGGGTTTTGTTATGTTATCCAAATATGTACTTTCAGGATGATTCTGAGTTTTCTTTTAGGGTGTATTGTCAAAAGTGTAAGTAGATCAAACTCCAGTTGAAAAAGTGAAAACAGCTTTTATTAAAAATGAGAAATGTAAGTACTGTTTTTGGTTTACTTGACGCTTCCAACTATTCATTTTTTTAGCCGATCTACTGAATGCCCTGTTTTATGATTTAGTGGCTACCAGTTGGTTTGATTCTACGGATTCGGGCTTCAAACTGTAAGTATCAATAGTAAAGCTTTACATGTATTACTCAATTAAGACACAAACTACATTTTAGTTATTTGTGGAGTTTTTTGATATTTACTTTTCTCTCATTTGTATGTTAATAATTCCAGAAAGTGTACTAGACGATCGTCTACTACTTCATGTATTAATGTATGTCCGCAGTAATCAAAGTCTTTCAGGTACATAGAAGAGTATCTGATAAGCCACATATTCCTGTCGACTCATTCTGGGTTGACTAGGTGGAAAAGGTTCAACTTATTGATCCGATTGTCGAACCTTTCGAAAAGAGAGAAGTTAAAGCTATAGAAGAAGATTGGTATAAAAGATCAGTTGAATTTACGTATGATCAAGATATGTTTATCTATTCAGTACATTTGAAACTCTAGGTTAGTTAAATAATTGTCTGAATAAGTAGATTTGATCAGCTTGTAGATAATTCTTTATAGCATTTATGGTATTAAATGTATCTAGAAGTCACATGAATCAGGAACTTATTCCATATCTCAAAAAGTGTGACATAATTGTAAAATTTATAAGTAACTTAAAAGTTTCAGGACAACAAATAGTAATTAATTGCTACCCCAAATATGACCTAGATATGATTTGTAGGTCTACTTTGCAATATCAATAGCGTCTTCTATTTTTGACAGCAGAATGATAACTGATTGAAATTATTCATCAGAGTATATGTCCATACATGAAGTCAAGAGGTCATGAATCTTTATGAACCGGAACGTCTGAAGAGAACACAAACACCTCGAAACCTAGACAACCAAACAAAATTTCCTAAAGGTTATAACGAAGGATCAATAAATTATAGTGAAAAAACTAGAAACTAATTTTCTATATCAATATAAAAATTAAGATATCAACAAAAATATCAATTACACCAAAAAGCGTGTAGTGCTTGATAATAAATGCTAGACTTATTTTTTTAGCTGCTATTAACAAAATTAGAGTTATTATGAAAATATAGCCAATTGCGTTTTTACTATACCTAGTTAATTTTTTTGTTAATATCTTAATTTATTATTATTATTATTAAACTTATTTCAGATTAAATAGTCATACTAGACTTTTGGACCTTCTATTGCACTAAGAGGTTGTTCTTAATTCGATTAACTACTAAAGCGTGTTTTTAGCTTCTTTAAACAATAATTTATTTTCAGAATTTTTAACTCAAGATGACAAAATTACTTATAATCAAAACTTCTACTTTTGGAATATTCTATATTTGACAATAAATCTGAATGCTCTAAATCTATTGAATGTAAATTTATTCCAATTTTCTTCAAATTTCGAATCGTCCAAATTTCCAATTGTTTTTTCAAATTGCGAAATATTCCAAGTATTTTTAAAATTTGTAGTTCCGATTTTTTCCAAATTTCAAAATTGATATTTTATACAAAAATTTATATTATTTTCTAGTTAATCTTGAAATTGGTGAAAATTGTATTGAAAGATTCTGTTACAGCTAATAAGCTAATAAAAGCGTGTTAAAAAAAGCGATTTATCTTTAACCTATATACGTATAATGACCTCGGAGGTTATCTGGAGATCAAGTTGAGGAACCTACAGTCGTCTTGAAGTATCAACTGTGAAAGATAGAAGAAACCTAACGATGGAATTTTTATTTTAGCAAATGATACAACAACGATGATAACAAGCACAAAGGCAGTGTTGTTGGAGAGGGTAGCAGTAAAACTCCTGTTGCTGTGGTAGGATTACAATTTAACCACATGAAAATGTATGAAATTTACAGCGATGTAGTAACAAAGGTAAACGTCACTATCAGCACTCAGTTTGGTTCCCTCATTGAGTATTTTAATCTTATATTTTGCAAGTTTTTAGAGAAAATTAGTAATTTTTGAGCTGTTTTACAATTCCACTCCACTTCAGGATATTTCTCATTATTATTCGTAGTGTGAGAAGGGTATCGAAAACTGCAAAATAACTTGCCAGATAGAACGACTGAGCTGTTACATTTTGGACAATAACGCTTACGTCCTTGTCAGCGATCAACCAGACTACATAGGAAAATATATTGGTAAGAACTAAAGATAAAGGTTAGCTATTCATCTAACTAGAGCGTTGAGAGGACGGTTATGGCCCACGTCATAAAACTAAAGCCCAAGGTGTGAAGATCCTCGGACTCTAACACGTCAAGGATACAAATGCCGATTACACTCGAGATACATTGTAGAGGCTGTAATAAAAAAAATAGAGTTGGCTTTAACGCGGAATCAAACATAAATACTATATTTGATCACCGGTAGTTGTGTCGTTGCCTGCCAATGAATAAACAAGGACAGTTTATTGAATATTTGTATTGTGTTCAACAAATGCTAATTTAAACAAAGCGAACGCTGATGGTACTTTAGCACCTTAGGGCATTGAGGAGTCCGTGAGCTAGAAAGTGGGACTTGACCCAAAAAAATGTATATAGACTATACCTTACAGTTCGGTTGCAGATAAAGGAAATTAATCGTTAGAAAACCGGTAGTAAACAAAATTATCTAAAAGGTATTTCTTCTCAAAACTGTAAAGATAATCAATCGAGTTAGACTAATTTGTTTACAGGTGATATCAGACCTGATATCATGGCAGATCTGATAGACGACAAAGTGTACATTCCAACCAGGATGTTCGATTATCAGGCAATATGCCAAAAATTGCCACCAAAAAAGATCCCGGAGGAAGAAAGGGTCAGGATCAGAAAAGAGAAACAGCGAGCTGCAGCAAGAGCTCGGAAAAGAGCTAAGAGCTCTGCAACTCGATTTGGGGTGAGACTATAATATAGTTTTAGATCTATATAATCATAGTATGGGGATACTCATGCTGATCGATCAACGCACTTTGCTTACGGACTTCCAGGCTTCTCCATTGAGGTCTATACGTTGAGATATGCTCAGTATGATCGCAAAAGTTATACAGAAGTATATCGTTTTGAAAACTTTTTGGGATATTACAAACGTCGTAACGACGTCTAGTGAATGCTAAATGACATCGTAAAAACGTTGTAATTAAATAGGTATAATAAAACAACAGGCGTATCAGTAAAAGTGTATTTATTGAACATGGTGTTTTAAAAACAAGTCAACTTATTAAACTGTCAGACTTTTTTGCATGGTTGTGCGGTGATACGAAGCTTGAGTTAGCCAAGTTCCAATTGCCAGCTCCATCTCGCGGTGGCTTTGGCATTTATCAGCCTAAAGACTAAAGTTTTGCTGTTAAAAGTAATGTCAGACTGACAGCAATAGCCGGTTCTATAAGCAACGCTCAAATTGCGGTGTTTATTATCCTTTACAGCTTCCAGATCAACTTCTTCAAATAGGAAAATGGATTCTCACGACCGTATGGTTCCTGTTTAGAGTTGTCAGTGGAGAGGAAAATTTTGTCTATCAAAGCATCAACGAAGACATGATAGCGTTCAACAAACAAGCGATAATCAAAACGTTGCCAACACCTTGTGACCAAGAACGCTGGCTGTTCAATTTGAACAAGTCTGTGAAGTTTCCTTTGAGCCGGTATATTGATCCGAAGATCAAGTTTGAGTGTGATTGGTTAGTATAATATCAAACCGGGTTCTACCACATGTAAGCAAAGTAGATTAATCACTATAAGTACGAGAGTAGAGAATTTTAAGCCAATAAATTGCATGTTGACTATAGCCGAACGTTGTCAGAAAGCGTACAAACGTCGAAAAACGGAGTTTTGGATTTGTTGTGAATCACAAACTACATCCTGTATTGAAAATTATCCAATCATAAAGTAAAGCCGCTTACTTCAGCAACGTTAATTATTCTAAAACCTTTGCAGGCCATACGTAGTGGATAGAATTCCAAACTCGAATCTCATTTTCCTGGCTACCAATGACCATGGACCATGCAAAGGCAGGCCAGCCCCAACCTATTTAGTAGACCCAAAAGAAATAGTATACAACACATCTTTGCCTTGTTATATCGCCACTATGAATAACTTTACTAGAAGAATGTACATGGATTGCTTCAACAGAGATAAACAGGTAAAGGGTAGTATAGGTTTGGAAAATTGTATTTTTAAATGATGGCCTTCGGAAGAAATAACAGATGTGTATGCAGAAGATCCCTGTATGCACCCTATTAATAACAATAATATTTAATATATATATAACACAACAATATAATTCCTCTTCATCAAGGACATCCTTATGACAGAAAGATGCACCTAGATGGTTCAAATCACCTGTATGTGCTTTCATCATCCCGACTTACAAATGAAAAGAAACTGCTATTTATTGGATTATAAAATACAATAAAAAGGAAAACAATAATCAACCTCATTATCCCGAACAATAGTTCAATCATACTATGATACAAAAAATCATTAGAAAAACCTTTCAAATTGTGCAACATTCTCAAAAATATATTCTCTGCAGATGGTGCTAAATGTTTTAATATTTTTCATCTTTTCAAGTTTTCTATCAGAATGTTATATATCTTTGATTCTATGTACGTTATGTATCTTAAGTTTTGCACTAAGCTTTGTTCTCTACTTTCAGAAAGTCAAGAACTCAGCATTGCATGTATTATTATGTTTTTTCGTGCTATGCGTACAGTGCTTGGCTAAATGGTCCCCAAATATGTAATAAGATATAAAACATATAAATCAGAAACAATGTTAATAATCTGTTGATTTTTTAAACGAAATATGCCCTGCTTCCTTGCCTATTTAGATACACGCTGTTATCCTGCCAAAGCAAGGTTAGTCGGTAGTTATGGGAGGTTCTTTGTACTTTTTGAATGCAAAGCGGTCGCGGTTTGGGCGCCACCTAGTTTCAAAAACTAGGAAATGGAATAAAAAGTAACAACTGGTGGGACTCTGGAGCTATGGACACAAATTCACAAGGCACACAGACAATTATCGAACAAAAAAAAAATTTAAGGAGAGGACAGTCTGAAGAGAATTAATTTGGGTACTACCCCCCTAGCTAAATGTGCAGGTGCATGGCTTTTACTGGTAGATAACCGAGAGCGCAGGAAGTCCCAAATGTAACCTGAAGGTAGAACCCGAAGGTGGAACCCGAAGGTAGAACCGGAAGGTAGAACCCGATAGGAAACCGAGAGTATGAAGTACCAGATGTAACCTAAAGGTAAAACCCAAAGGTAGAACCCCTCAAATAATGAGGGTTCACAAAAATGGGCAACTGCTCCTCACAAATTTACCTCAGGCTATCCCTGCAGACGGTTCCCCTCAGCTCGATGGTTGAGTGTAGTTATGTCCACGGCTACATCCCCGAGAGGGTGAGAAAAAACCAACAAGAGTTTTCCTATCTATTCTGTTGAAAAATATCCCTATCCCCAAAGTACACAACGCAACCTTACCCGCGCATCAGCTACCCCAACACCTACCATGAATGCCACAAACGCTATCTACACCCCCCGTAGTACGCCCGCGCCAGCAGAACGAGCCCCATGCACATGTGCATGCGCACGCGCGCACACTAGCGCGAGAGCCTACCTTTTGACTCACCCTATATAAAACATTCTTGGCTCCCCCTGTATACTACACCTTACTATCGTCGGCTGTATGAATCACTTCCGGTCGGGTGCGCCAACTAGCGGGGGCCGTCAATCAACATATACCATCAACCCCGTTCAAATTTCCCGCCGTCTGATCCGCCAATCAGAGCACGCGGTGGGCGTGGCCAAAGTGGAAGTCGTGAGGGGCGTGCAAGGTAACATATCATCTAATAAAAAAACCCACCACCCTATAAACCCGCAACTCGGCATGTGAAATTATGTCACAGAATCGGGCAGTGGGCCGCAGAATGCCTACACCAGACCACCGGAAATAGCCCAAGTCACCTTAAGCTCTCGTATTTAGGGTCGGCAGAAATAATAAAAAATAATTAACAGAAGCTGTAACAACCCTCGCTTATTGAGTACTGACATAGGCTCGCATAGGTGTCACATAATGACCATTGAATCATGACAGAACGATCCAAGATGGCACCCAGACGTCACCTTGAGATTTTCAGCTGTCATTTAAAACTATATTATTCATGCTTCTATTTAATCACCATGAATTTCAGCTTCCTAACATGACCCGTTCCAAAGATTGAACCACTGTTGCTTCACTTGTTTTGGATGCTCCAACGGATACTCTCACTGAAAAATTGTGTGCACTTTGAATCATATCTGAAGATACCTAATATTTTTTAATTTTTTTACAGGAGGACGCTCTGAATCAAAATGACAGAAAATATTGCGGGCACACTTGGGGTTAAACGATTGGTTAAGTTTTATGCCTTCTCTATCAGTGCCAAAATATGTGCCAAATGTCAAATAGGCTTCTTCTGTAATAACACACTACTATTCTGTAAGCTTAAGTCAGACGTTTAGCATATTTATTTATACCTTGGTATGAATATGTTCATTGTATGTGTAGGAGACAGTTATACAAATTCAATAAATTAATCTTTTAGAAATATCTGATACTGTTACAACAGGTAGTAGCAATGAATATTCCTAGAAAAGATTGCAGTTAGACAAGGCGAATAAATTAGAGAGAGATAAAAGATACATCCAAGAACATGGCATCCATGAATAGATAACTCTTTTTGGCTGGGTTCATTGACCACCACTCGTGGTGAAATTTTTTTTTTCATATTTACTTTTGTTTGGATATTTATCTGTGGTGGGGATGTTTATCATCCATTTGTAGCTGACGAAATATATTTTTCATTCAAAAGACTTATAAATCACACTTTTCGCGACATAAGTTGATCTCAAAAACTATATGTTATCAGCTGTTTAACTTTTAGGGCCCTTCGAGGAATATCACACAATTCAGTTGGGTAACCAAAGAGAAACGCTAAAAGTTTTCTGACCACAAATTTCATTCATTCATTCATCATTTTATAGCTTTCTGCGCCTTTCGCACAACCAACCAGCTCAACTAAAGGTCCTGGCTGGTCTGGTTTGAATCCATTCCATAGAGAGCTGTTTACTTATATAATCGATATGAAATGTACTCAAATGAATCGTAGATCTATTTCGTCTATGTAAATAACTGAAATTGATTAAGCTCAGCGTAAATGTAGCATTTTCTAAATGTTTTAAGGCAGTTTGGCTACACAGCCGGGCTACCTACATAGCCATCTATGAGTGAATCGACAAACTAAAGAGGTATGTTCATAGATCGCTGGTATTTTGTGTGAATCAGTAATAGTCCAAGAGCCGACAGCAACGTTTTGTTTACAAGATGTTAACACGTTCGCTGCCAAGCAATATTTATGATTATGCCACCAAAGCCACAAAAAGAAGACCACACAAAAAAAAAGTTCCCCTGGAGCCATTTTGTCCAGTCAAAATTTATTAGTTAGGATTACGTTACCTGCAGTTTCTTTGTAGGCGTTATTTTCATCTCAAAATTGTCAAATTTGTCACTCGGTCCAACAGACCGAGGCGGCGTGGAAGTAGCTTTTTTTATCATATGCCCCAACTCGGTCCATTTCTCGGTCCGCAGCGATTTTGCGCAATCGACATGTTTCTTCAAGTCAGCACGTGGTGTCTACTGTCTTTCTAATTGCATTTCAGCAGACATTTCAGTACGTACACATTTTTAGACGGAATAGGCGGTTATTGTTGTTATTTTTGAATGTAGTTTGTGTTTCTACAATGTCCAGAAATCTTGCTTTGACGCAGAAAGAATTAGAAGAAGAGATAGAGCGAATTATGCAAAATCAAGTCAATCTTAAATTTAAGTACTTTGTTGCTGAACAGCAAACTTGGTTGACTTGTTTTTATCAAATTATACTAAGTGACATGTAAATCCGAACACCCAGTTTAAATGGTTTTATTTTAATAAAAGTTGGTGAATGTATTTATCTTACTGTAAATAACAAGTCAAAAAATGTTCAGCCTTATCAGTTGGACATTCCGGTTTTATACTGCTTTTTTTAATTCATTAACGCTCTAAAAATGAATATTTCAGCCGCAGTAAAGAATCAACGCTGGCGGATTTTTGTTCTTGACATCCTTTACGATCGGTTACGATGCCTAGAGTACGGAGACCTGTATGATTTCGTCAACTTAGTGAGTTTGATAGGGGCCGTATAGTGGGACTTCGGGAAGCTGGACTTTCTTTTCGGGCAATTGCAGTTAGAGTGCAAGAAGTGTAGACACTGTGGTTAGGTGTTGTCAGGCATGGCTTCGAGAAGGCCGTAGGCAAAGAGCAAGGGGCACTGGACGCCGCCGTAGAACAACAGACCGTGAAGATCGCCGCCCAGGATTATTCGCCTTAAGGGACCGTTTCTCCACTACCAGGTCCATTGCAAATGAATGGTTTGCAGAACACGGAAGACCTATTGGCATGCGAAGTGTTTACCGACGAATGAGAAGATTTGGCTTGTTTCATACCGGCCACACTGGGTCCTCCCTTTAACTCGAGAACACCTACGTAATCGCCTTGAGTGGTGCAGACAACGGTCACTCTGGGATCAGGAATGGAACAGTATTGTCTTTAGTGACGAGTCTCGATTTTGTTTAGGCATGCACGATGGTCGTGCCAGGGTTAGAAGGCGACGTGGTGAAAGGAGGAGTCAACAGTTTTTTGTTGAAAGATATGTTCATCACACTGTTGGAGTTATGGTTTGGGGTGCTATAGCTTATGGTTCCAGGTCACCTTTAATCTTCATCAGAGGTAACATGGACGCGCAGCGTTATATCCACGAAGTTCTAGAACCCCATCTTTAACCCTATCTTGACACCCTGGCAGATCCAACTTTCCAGCAAGATAATGCCCGACCACATGTTGCAAGAGTCACAATAGACTTCTTTCAACATAATGATGTCACATTGTTACCATGGCCACCAAGATCTCTCGACTTATCCCCAATTGAGCACGTGTGGGATATGATGGTTACGAGATTGCTCAATTTGCAACGTCCTCCTCAGACTCTAGAAGCACTTCGAGAGGAGCGGGTGGTTGCCTGGAATGATATAGCACAGGAGGACATTGACCACCTGATCAGAAGCATGCCTAGGCGCGTTGGAGATTGCGTAGCACATCAGGGTGCATCCACACATTATTAAAGGTCAAAGGGCTTTAAAGCAGTGCAATCGTTTTGAAATTTTTATCATTTACTTATTATGCTTCATTAAGTACTTATACAAAATTTTATTAAAATAAAACCACTTAAACTGGGTGTTCGGATTTATATGTCACTTAGTATATATGAGTGTGGAATGATGTAACCAAAAATCTGCGAACCGGCAAATTATAAAGACATCCCGAGAAGTGTACCCTCTCTTTGCTTAATCTGTGTGGTTTTAATGCGGATAATTCTCCATATTTTTCTGTCAGTTAAAGGGAATAACATAACAGGTACACGCTTCCCATATATGTGGTTTCATTTAGCGGCCAGAAAGAGAAAAATTAGTAGCAGTAACGCTTCGTATTTACGTCAGAGACACCGAAAGAATTAGACCACACTCAGTAATCTCCAGAACAAGGGTGTATAATTTCACCAGATGGGTATACAAACTATAATCAGTGAATGGGCAATTTACATATGAGAGCAGCTATGGGCTGATGAATATTTATGGTTAGTTCCTGAAAATAGGGTAATTTCAGAAATAATTCCAAAGTGGTCACATTCGAGGTAACCAATGCGAGTGGAATTTCAATAATTCCTAACTCGTTCTATTATGGTTGTAAATTGGCTGCTGCCAATTGGCTTCTAAGATGTATTGACACATGAACAGTCTAAAATCAACTAAAGGGGAAAGACAAAAAAAACATTTTTTAAGTCATTTTAACTATGATCCACGTGTTAATTTTCGGAATGAAATTCAGATTTAAATGTTTTTCTTTTCAGTTTTGAATAACAAAAATAAAAAAAATGACTTTCTACTGAACTGCTTCCGCTTGACATGAGAGATTAGAGCCTTGAAAAATAAAAAGGATAAGATCGAGGCTGTTGTACGTTTATCCGCTTGATAAATGCTGATACAATGACATGTTGAGGTTGAGATTCAAAAAACGTATCCTAAAGCCGATTTGAGGATGGGAAAATAATAACAGGGGATGCCTGCATAACATGTGATTGATACACCTTCCCGACTTTGACCTCTAAGTTTAACTTTTTCTGATAGCGTTACTTCTCCACGGTAGCCAGTAGCTACTAATTAGGTATGAAATTGTCCAACCAATAATTTATTTTCCTACCATACAATTTCATCTACATTCTACAATGATCACTGGCCGCGTGAGCATTTCGACACTAAACTTTATTTGAATCAAATAAAGAATTTAACAGCTACATACGGATCAATGTTAACGCAGTCATTGTAGCAGTACTCTAGACAAAAATAATTCACTCTCTTAAGCATTAATTTTAGTGATTCATGAATGTCAGGTAGGATGACTTCTTCCTACGCAATTTTGAAAAACTGGACTTTGGTAAAAATGAAGTTATGCTCTTTAAGCATATATATATATATATATATATATATATATATATATCCATGTGTGGACGGAATATTACTCATGAACAAATACATTTTGGGAAAATCTATGCATGGCATGTTATACATGACATTTGAGAGCACATTTCTGAAATATTGGCAACTATACAGGGTGTCCCAATTTTGACCTACATATCAAAGTTGTGATTTTTAAATGGAATGCCTCATATTTTATTGCATATTTGAATAAACCAATTCAGAAGAAGAAGATTGGTATAACATACTATGGGGTTTTGGTAATTAGCGACTGAGATGTAAGGTGTTTTGTCCAGAAAAACCGTTCACTTCGGCGACCCCTCAATCCGCCAGTTTGAAATTTGGAGTGCTGAATTTTTTATAAAAAAAAGCTTACACACCTCAGCTTTTATCTTATTTGTTACTTGCTTGAATTTTCATTTTTGCTCATACAGGGTGGTCAAAAACGCGAATAGTACTTTTTCTCAAAATTTTAAATCACCCTATATATTATATTATATCATTCTATTTAAAAAATCAGCTTTGATATGTAGGTCAACATTAGGACACCCTGTATAATTGCCAATATTTCAGAAATGTGCCCTCAAATGTCATGTATAACATACCGTAAATAGATTTTCCCAAAATGTATTTGTTTATGAGTAATATTCCGTACACACATGGATGGGCCAGCCTGTATACATAATATATAGGGTGTTCCTCAATGATATGCGAATATTTAAGGGTGTGAATCAACATGAAAAATTAATGTTAGTTTGCTTTATAAACTATGATCAAAAAATTTTGGCTTACAAAAACTCGGGGTGTTGAAGTTTTTATGAAAAAAGATGGAAATCAATTAATATTTTCAGAACCGCTTCAGATATTTCACTGATATTTAGAACGTAGTGAAAGTTAATAAAGTTGCATATTCTTCATTGCAGAAATAAATTTTAGCTTTAACAGTGGCGTGCGTATGGGTATT